GTTAATAATTTTATCCAATTTTCTTACAAAAAAACTTATTTACTTTGAATATAAAACATTTTTTCACATAAATATTGGCAATAATATGACAAATTTACTTAGCAGGTTTATAATTTAAATGAATATCGGTAAAATATATTAAAATATCCAAACAATTACCAAGACAAAACTATAATAAGATCCCTATATTCTGTTTAATCTGAGGTGGCAAGAAAACCATCTTTGAACCACTCTAAATCTTATTCCTCAATTCAACCCAAGATTTAATACAGGGCATAAAAGAAAAGGAAAACTCTAGCTTTATACATATGTTACTCAGCCACGTGTCCCAGTGTATGGTGATCTCGCCGTGTCTGTGGAGCTGCAAAGCTGCTATGTGCCAGATTTTCAGCTCAGAAGTTAGATTAAAAGCCGAGAAACCGAGGAGAGAAATCTACGCTGTCTGGCGCCTTCAGTGAGTGAGCCTCCACAATTTACTAACTATTCATTCCATGCGGCTGAAGCAAATGTTGATGACCAAGGTGCGGGGTCCATGTTCGCATGCAGCAGAGGAATGGACGCAAGAGCTTGAGGGAGACGTTTTTCGCTGGTCAGGAGATCAATCGTACGACTTCTTCTCAGTGCACACACAAGCAAAAAACAAGCTATCGTCCACAAGTTGAAACAGTAAAACCAAGTGAGGACTCAAAAAGGAAACAGGAAAAGAAAATTCTTTCTTCAGGCCCTGGGCTTCCTGGTACAGGTCTGTCTAGCGTAGCTGTCCTTTCGCTGAAAGTAATAAATTTTGTGCTGCAGAGAGTTGCCTAAATCAAGATACATGGTGGACGTACGATTATTTTTGCCTGAAGAAAGAGTTCAACAATAGTTCAAGCGAGTGTGCCTCTTTCGTTTTCGAGTCATCTACTTAAGAGCCTTCAAGGGAACTGGTTCTACTGTTTCAGGAATCTTGCTGTAACGGGACAGTTGTGGACGACCCAGAGCTAGGACAAGTTTGTTTTTTTGCTTGTGTGTGGTTGCTGTTGCACGGATCTGGCACTGGGAAGAAGTCGTTCGTACAATTGTTTTTTTCTTTCTGCTTGTTTTGCAGGTGATTCAGCTCCAGGGCGACCAGCGAAAAAATGTCTCCAGTTCCTGGTACAGGTCTGTCTAGTATCCTATTGTGAAAGTGCCCCGTCGCCCACGACTTGTTGGAACCGGGTGATCAGCGTGCTAGTGACTACATCATCCCAAGAAGGAGAAAGGCGCCAGGCCTCGTTTCATCGGCAACCTGGTGAAGTGTACGAGTAAAAGATAAATCGGATTAACTCCATTTACTCCTTCCTAGGCCGCCGCGGAGTCTGCTGCTAAGAAACCTTTGTCGGGTCCTCCAAGACGAAAGTGTGATTGGGCTTTTGAAATCGCTTGGATGGCAAATGATTTCATGCAGGCAAGTAAACGTTCGGGTTTTTGAAAGAAATGTAACTTTAAAACTTGTCTCAGGAACGGCATCCACTTCCATCGCCAGCCTCCTCTTGCTCGTCCATGTATGCCTCTTGGACCGACTCGGTAGAGTCCCTCTCCGTAACACCTGCTTGATCGGCTCGTTAAATTCGCTGTTTCTTTGGAGTCTTGACACCAGCAACTCTGTCAAGATCCCGTGCTTTTGAGATGAATATTATGAAAAGTTTTCTCTCCTTGGCCTCGGAGTCACTAAACAGAAAGACAATAAAACTACCGATAAAGTAGATGGCAAAGAACTTTCAAAGTCAAGCCAAGCAGATTACCTCCCTGTTACACTCTAACGTATAAAGAGAGAACCAAAAAAAACGAGACAATCATACCTTCTCTAGAAACTCTAGCTCTTTATCAACCTGACAGTCAAACATGTGAAAAGAAAAACATAGTAACAAAAAAACGAAAAAGAGCAAAATTCCTGAATTCTCCTACAAGCCTTTCAAGTTTCCGCAGCAGCACACGTATGCTCTCGTTATCCTTACCGCTGCATTGGCTCCAGTACCCATGGAAAGATCGCTAACTCGACTTCTCGCCCTTGCCCAATCAATCCAACCCCGCGCCTCTTCTCGCGACCAGCAATCCTGAAAATGTGACAAAGCGACAGAGAAGCTAATCCGCCCCGCCGAGCGATAGTGCCAGTGATACAAGTAAGTTCCTTGCTGGCAAGCGATCAGGAAAACTCAATCATTTTGCCTGCATGATCAATCGACAATGTAGATGACACTTCTTTCTCGCTTCCTATCCATCTAGGCGTGGACAAGAGCTATGGAGGAAGATCGGCTGTGTGCCTTTTCTAGAAGGAAGCTGATTATTGACAACGATGAGCTTATGGAGGCTTCGGCTGAGTGGGCGAAAGGTGGCGAGAAGACACCTTCAAGGAACAAGACAACGGAGTTGAATATCTATTTCGAATGGTGTAAAAGAGATCAAATATAACGAAAACTACAATGTTTGAACCAAGAACGCTGAGGTTGGAAGACTCATATAGTTTTCAAATACTTTTCTGAAGCTCAACATCACAAAAAAGATGGCTTTAGAGAAATACAGGAGCAGTAGCCTAGACTCTGAATCCTCGGCTGTTACGTCGCCCGCGAGCCTTCTCAAACTTGCGCCCCTTGGAGCGCACGTACGGCTTGGTGTGGCTGTGTGGCACACCAGGAGCCGGCCCAAAGTGCTTCACGGCCTCCCGAGCGGACTTGCGACCCCTCAAAAGTACCTGGGCAAAGCAACAAGAAAACTAAGAAACAGGGAGGGACTTTACGACTGATCGCTGCTTACCGTGTTGCATCCAGTGGGTGCCAGGAGCGCGAGCTCGTCAAAGGTGAGGCATTTCCCTCCGGCGTTGGTGATCCTGGCGCGGGCAGTCCGGGTGAAGCGCAGAGCCACCACTGTCATTGCGGGAACCGTCGCGAGTCTAGGATCGTCGGTGACCGTTCCAACGAGGACAGCGATCTTTCCCGACTGTGTCAGAAGGAAAAAGAAAAACCAATCAAGAAGTGATGCGAGCAATCGGAAAGCTCACCTTCTTTTCCATGCTAGCGGAGAGGCGGGAGAGGGACACTGGCGGCTGGTTGGTTTTGCTCATGAAGAGCCGCTTGAGGATCACAGCGTTGAATTTGCTGTTGGTCCTTCTGACCAAGAAGCGGTAGAGCTGACAGAGAGGGAATGGAAAAGAAAATGCGTGAGAAATCGGGCAACCGCTATAGATCCAATGCCAAATCCCACGCACTCACCTTGACGAGCAGCTTGAGGTAGACATTGTCACTCTTGGGGGCTGTCCGCTTGGTCTTCTTGTTGCGCCCGCCGGCTTCGATGTCGATACCCTGCAGCAAAGCGAGCACCGTGAGACGAGGCCATCCATCGCAGCACGGATCCACGTACCATAGCGCTGCTCCTCCTCCTCCCTGGCGGCTGAAAAGCCCTAGTCCCCGCAAAACCCTAAATCTAGCCCCAGTCCGGTGTTCGATTCCATTGGATAGCGTTAAAAAGAATATTCTTTTTCTGCCAAGGTTCAAATCCAGCCAGGAACCTTATGGTCGTGGGTTCGAACCCTTTCCACGACATTTTATTATTTAGGGTATTAAGTCTTGGAATATGCTTTCAAACTAAAAGAAAAGCTGGAGAATTTATCGTCGCTTGCCACCCCCAAGAAGGAGACTTGCATCAAGCACAATGCAGAGAGAGCGCTGCAAAGCTCCTCGCAGTGTCCGAGTTTGTCGCAAAGTCTACGCCCCGGCGCTGGAGCTCAGTGCATGGAATACATGGGACTCCGCCGAGGTGAACGAGACGCTGTTCCTGGTGCTCGCAGTTTGCTACATTGCTCGCCTCTGCGCCTCTAGTGTCGAGATGCTGCGACGCAGCTGGATTGTATGGTTGATTTCGCCCGCCAGGAGCTGCTCTGGTCGGTTGGAATCCATAGACTTTCGTCGCTGGACGCAGCTAAGCAAGATGAGCGAGCACTTGGAGCTACTTTGGGCAAAGTTTTGCGAAAACAGAAACATCCAAGGTTTGTGTTTGTCTCATGTTCTTTCTTTTCTTTTTCACGTTTTCTTGGTTCGAATGGCCGAAAAACCAGCACGCAACGAAATCAATATGGATCTTTCCGCTCCACCCCCGCACCCGAACCGGAAATTCAGATGTAAGAAACCATCTGTTGCTTCAGTTCTCTCATCAAATAATAGCGAAAAGATGACGAGTAAACCAGGCACAAGGAATACACAAATACCCTCTGGTTATGGTGTTGTGGCTACTTTTCTCAAGGCCGATTTCTTTCTAACACTCCCGGTGGACAGGCTGGTGCAGACGACGGAGTCAGACAGGCTTATGCACAGCTTGCACGACATCCACTCGAGCCACCATGAAATGCCCTCTGTCTCTGCTGGTCAAGGAGCTCGTCCTGCTGCTCCAAGGGATCGAGAACAACAAGTTGCTGCGATCACTCGTCATGGAGACGCCACCCCTGTCCGTGCTGCCGCACCACCAACGCCTTGCACATCTGGCTTGGACGCTACGACCTCCGAATCTATCACCACCACAACTTAACGTGTAAGTTGTTGCCTCTCAAGTGTTTATCTTTTTAAAAGCTTGTGTTCGGTACACAGGATGCTCCAAAGCAGGAGGAGGAAAAGGATAATGTTTTCTTTTATATGATCAGAAGTGTGAGCTTACATCTTCGTGTTTGCACCACACAGGTGTTGCGGGATGGCTTCCACAAGGAGCGCACCCCATCTCTGATCGAACAGACCCGAGACGTGACACTCATGACAGCTTGTGGTACGTGATTGGATTCTAAAGCTGCTTGACTTACTTTTGTCTTCTGAGCTTATTCACATGTCTACAAAAGCCTCCAGACACACCGATGTGGCGTGCCTCTAGGAAGTATGTTGGCATTGCAGGGAAGTTCGAACACCCCGTGAGTCTGTGCATAGAACATTCACAAAGACTCTAGGCTTGGAGACCAGGATGGCAGTTTTGTAGGTAGAAGCTCGAGAGTTGGATGTAGAAAAGTCCAAAATTGAGCTTAATTTACGGGTGAAATTTCAATGGTCAACATTTATGGACTGTCATTGACTGTTATTGACTATGTTCACTTGGCATTGACTCTGCCAGAGTTTTTGAGAGTCTTTTGAAGCGAGCTTTCGACGACGTTCTTTTGAGGCGAGCTCGTCTGCTCGTACGGCCGTGGTACAGGATAATCGGATCTTGGAGAAAGACTAGGGCAGTCGCGAAGCCTCGGACTTCTTGGAGAGAGGTAGAACTTCTTGACTCATTCTTATTTCCATCTCTTGGATTCCCACGTCTCGGCCAATGCCACTGCTTGCTCGAGCGTCTGGGGATTGTGATCATCCACGCCCATTCGGACGCTACACTTGAGGCCGTGCACGTAGTACGCCACCTTGTCCTCATCGCTCAATCCGGGCAGCCGCGACACCAGCTTGCAAAACCGTGAGCTATACTCCCTCACCGACTTGAGCTGCCGGAGATCCATGAGCGCGAACTTGGCCTCGCGCTGGTAATTCGCGGGCATGAAGAACTTGAGGAACGCGTCCCGGAAATCCTCCCAGCTGCCCACCATGGCGGAGCTGGAGCTGGAGTTCTTCCACCAGAAGTAGGCCGCGTCCTTGAGATGGTAAGTCGCGATCAACACTTTCTCGTCCGGGCTAGCCTGGCCGATTCGAAAGTAGCTCTCCACCTTGTGGAGCCACTCCCAGATCACCTCGGCGTCGCGCTCGCCGCGGTAGATCGGGATCCTTGGCGGTTGGTGGTGCTCCTGATGGATGCGCGAATCGAAGGAGCCATTGGAGCTTTGATCCGAGGGGCTGCTGCCGCCCTTCTCCTGGTCGTGGAAGCTGTAGCTCTCGATGGTCTCCTCTTGCAAATCTGGGTATGGAGGAGGAGGTGAAGGAGCCACATTGGATTCTCTGTGCTTGGCCATGGTGTCGAGATTGGAGACGAACACCTTGGTGGTGTGCTCAAAGAGATTGGAGCTAGAAGTACCTCGCGGGATTGGAGAGAGCGACGAGGATGGCTGCTTGCTCCTCGCGGTGGCACCGGCGGCGACCTTGAGGCTCAGCACCTCCGCCGAGAGCCGCGCCAGGAACACATTGAGCTCCGCCATGACGCCCTCGAGCGATTCCAGCCGCCGCTCCAGCTCCTCCTGCCGATCCTCGCTGGTGGGTTTCATCACGGGATCCACCCAAGCTGCGCGGATCGAGACGATTCGGAGATGAGCGATGATGATCCACGCACAAAAGCCCCAAATGTGCTATTTGAAAATGGATAGTACTGTCGGTGCGGTGATGGCGATGAATCGCCAGCCCGCCAGCGCGATCTGATTCAAATACTTTCCCCATAATCACCGCGCTATGTATTCCAACGCGCGGTACAGCGCGGTAACTGCAGCCGTACCGCGCGGTACCGCGCGGTACAGTGCGGTAGCACGCGCTAACTTAACTTCCAGGTTTGGTCGGCCAATCCACATCAGTCGCCAGATCTCTGCACGTTGCTGGTTTGATTTTTGTTTCCTCGATCAGTACACACGTGATTGCTGCTGCTAGATCACTCGATCACCACTGCATCACTGGAAAAGAAAACAAAGAAAGAAACGATAAAACAGAGTAAAGACACATTTGTTTTGCTTGTGTTCTTGTCTGGATCACAGAGCACAAACAAAAAGCTCTCAGACGCAAGCAGAGCGCGAGACTTCTCTCTCTTTCGCGATCGATCCCGCTTTCCAAAACTCTCCTTTCCCAAACTCTAGCCAAAAATTCCGCGGGAGAGACAGGCATTGAAGACACGACATGAACAGTCATGGGATCCATCAACCGTAGCGTCATACGTATGCTCTACCCAGGAGAGTCTTGATCCATCCAATTCTATAATAGAAGTTCCAAGCTAAGAGTCCGAGAATGAGAGGGAAAAGATAAAAGCGTAGATGTGATTGAAGCGTTTTGGAAAGGAATCCTCATTGTTTCTGAGTGCGCTCGCACGAGAGTTACTCTTCTTGTTGCTTTGTGTGACTAGTATGTATGGTCGCAATACGAAGCCTCTTCCACGGGCTCTCAAAGTCAAGCCTCCAGACTCGATCAAGATTGCTCTAAACGCGGAGTTGATCGAATCGTTTTACAGTTCCTCTTCTTCTTTTTCCGGTCCTTGATTCCCATCCCAATCGTTGTCACTTCTTCCTCCTGCGCGATCCGATCGATCCTTAGCTGGAGAGCATTCTCCAGAGGAAGTCTCTTTTCTCCTTCCAAACTCCCCAATATCTGCAGGAAATACCGTCCTTTTGATGGAGATCTTCCCTCTTCTTCTCTAGCTCGCGGTGATTCGAGCGAGCGAGAGAAAGGAGCAAGAGGAAATGGAGAAGATCACGGCCCTGGTGCTAGCGACTGCGGTGGTGATAGCCTGGATCGCCCCGCCCGCGCGAGGCGAGGTGAGGAGCTTCCAGTGGAAGGTGGAGTACATCTACTGGGCTCCGGATTGCGTGGAGACGGTGGTGATCGGGATCAATGGGCAGTACCCGGGGCCGACGATCCGCGCCACCGCGGGCGACACCATCCGCGTGGAGCTGGAGAATGGAATGAGCACCGAGGGCCTCGCCATCCACTGGCATGGAATTCGCCAGGTTAGAGCAAAGAGTTTCCTCTCGATTGGATCATCGATTTCCAGAGAGAAGAGAGTGGTGTTCTAAAGATGATGATGATGATGATGATCTCGCAGATTGGAACTCCCTTCTACGATGGCGTCCCATTCGCATCCCAATGCCCGATCAATCCCGGCGAGACATTCACATACGAGTTCGTGGTGGACAGAGTGAGTGAGTGATTGATTGAGCTCGAAGATCAAGCACTGATTTTTCTATCCATTTTTTCCTCTGATCGCTGGCAGCCAGGAACTTACTTCTATCACGGGCACTATGGCTTGCAGCGCTCGGCCGGGCTGTACGGATCTCTCATCGTCGACCCCGTGCCGAGCGACGCCGTACCATTCACTTACGATGGCGAGCTCAGCATCGTCCTCAACGACTGGTGGCACCGATCGATCTACAGCCAGGAGACGGGCCTGTCGCAGCTGGGCAGCGCGTTTCGATTCGTGGGCGAGCCCCAGGTAAGCAAACATCGCGATCGCGACAGGGGGATCGATCGTTTATCGGTCGATCGATGCGAAAAGTTTCGAGCTAAAACGAATCACACTGTTTTGCTGGCGCAGTCGCTGCTGATCGAGGGTCGCGGTCGCTACAACTGCTCATTGATTCCCGCGGCGCCATCGTCTCCACCCCTGTCGGGCGATGTAATGTCGTGTAACAGCTCCCGGCCGCAGTGCGCGATGCATGCCCTCGCCGTACGGCCGGGGCTGACGTACCGACTGCGCATCGCCAGCGTCGCCTCATTGTCATCGCTCAACTTTCTCCTTGAGGTACGGTACCCCATCTTCCATAGCTTCGTACTCTCATCCGTACATACCTTTCGCCATTTCGTCTCAACACCCTTTTCGTACTCTCTCTCTCTCTCTCTCTCTCTCTCTCTCCCTCTCTCGTGGATTGAGCTTGACATGGATGAATTTTTGCGCTGCGCGATCAGGGTCACAACATGACGCTGGTGGAAGCCGACGGCCACTACGTTACACCCGTGGAGATCTCCAACCTCGACATCTACTCGGGCGAGACATACTCGGTGCTCGTCACCGCCAACCAAGATCCATCGCGCAGCTACTGGGCGGCGGTGAATGTGCGCGGGAGGAGGCCGGCCACTCCTACAGGCCTCGCGATCCTGAGCTATGGCGATGGAAGCTCGAGCTCGGCGCCACCGAGCACTCCCTCGCCGCAGAGCCCCGCCTGGGACGACTTCGCCTACAGCGTTGCCCAGGCCAGGCGCGTGGTCTCGCGGCCGGGCTTCCAGATCCCTCTCCCGGAGCGAGCAAACGTTAGACTGATGCTCCTCTCGACCCAGAACCGGATCGATGGCAAGATCAAGTGGGCGATCAACAACGTCTCCTACGTCCCGCGCGCCACGCCCGTGATCGCGGCCTTCCAGTTCAACCTCACCACCGCCTACGATCTCGCCGCCTCCCCGCCCCGCGATTTCTCCAGGGGCTACAAGATCCGGAACGCGCCCCCGAATCCCAGCGCCATCCAGGGGAGCGGCGTCTACACCTTCCGCCACAACGACGTGGTGGACGTGGTGCTCCAAAACTCCAACACGCTCGTCCCAAACAACAGCGAGATCCATCCCTGGCACTTGCACGGCCACGATTTCTGGGTTCTTGGGTATGGCAGCGGGATCTACCGTCCGCACCGCCACGCCAGCACGCTCAACTTCGTCAACCCGCCAATGCGCAACACGGTCGCGGTGTTCCCGTACGGGTGGACGTACCTCCGTTTCCGCGCGGACAACCCCGGGGTGTGGGCGTTCCATTGCCACATTGAATCACATTTCCATATGGGAATGGGGGTCATGTTTGCCGAGGGCGTTGACCGCCTCCCTCGAATCCCGGCACAAGCTCTGGGCTGTGGCTACACCAAGGCGCTCTTCACAGCGCCCTAATTCGAAGTTTAGATTCTGCCAACTTGGTTTCTATGCCAAAATGAAGTGCTTAGTAAATTGGTTGAACTGGTCCAGGGAGGAGGAGTCTGTGGTGCTGCTAGATGAGGACCTTTCATCTCTGCTGTAACTACTTGCTTCAATGTGGATATACCACCAACCTAATTCACTTCTAATATGATTTCTTTAATGCATCCCAAGATACATGCTTCCTGAAATCTATTTTACTAGTGAAACTTCCAGTTATGAGATATTCCAAAATAGACGCTCAACTGGAGGCATGAGCCCACGTTTCAGTTGAACTTTTGCAGTTGGCCTTCAATATGCAATATATTGTAAGTAAATTTTAGATTTATTGTAATTAATATATAATATAAAGTCTTAGGAATGGATTTTATTAAAAATGTTTATAATTTTTATAAAACCTTTCTAAACTCAAAATTTTTATAATATATTTTTTAAAAATAATATTAATTTTTTATTGAAAAACTAATAATTTGCTGCATGAATCATATTGAGATTTATTTAGGATAATATGTCTCATTATAAGAACAAAGAGTTGTAAGGATTTGAAATATAATAAACACTAGGATAAATGTGTGTAAGATTCTTAATAGCCACTTTTCCACATCTTGATACAACTTTTAAGCACTAGATCACTATATATATCTGGCAATAACAGCATATTCCATATCAATTTCTCTGCTTTGAGCAACTATATTTAACAAAACTATCAATGATGTTCTCTTAACATGTTTTAAATCACTGTCATAGATCTCCCAAACTTGATGAATCTAGCTGATGTTACTATGGGTGATATAACGAGCAAGAACAATCGCGAGCTCAATCGCTCCTATCCAAAAACAAAGTTTTTAGCAGCTACAAAGCAAGAAAATAAACAGCAAGAACAATTGCGAGCTCAATCACTCCTGTCCAAGAACAAAGTTTTAGCAACTACAAAGGAAAAAAAAGAACGACCAAGAACAATCGCGAGCTCAATCGCTCCTATCTGAGACATCATATGTGCTGCTCGCAAACATATTTGAGTCGTCTTTAAAACAGATGATCACTAGAGCTCGGCTATTTTTTATAAGCATTGGAGTTAGCTACGTTCGACGGATGTATAGCATTTGACCCGTGGTCTATGTGACGTCTGATTTTACTGATATCATTTCTTCCAGGTAAGAACTGGGAGGATTTCACGATGCAACTGATCTACTATATGGGACCTTTGATGGTTGCATTTCTAGTACGTGAATTTTCTCTTCGAAAACGTTTTTCTTTATCTTTTTCTTCAGGTTTATGTAATCGATGGCGAGCATGGAAGAACATGGTTCCGTTTTTCCTGAGAGATTCTACTACAATATCCACACTTCGAGAATGTCGATCAAAGAGTTGTGACTGACACACTTCTTCTCCATTATCACTGATCTTTTCCCTTTCAGCTGTATTTGTAGAAGATCAATCCACCAGTCTTGTTGCTTGGACGCACTGGAATTAATTTCGTTCGTAATGAAAGTTTTGGTTAATCTCGTGAGTTGGAATTTTTATGGAGGGATCCACAGGACCATCCTTTAAAAAGAGATCAAGCTAGGAGTTGAATGGAGAAAAATTCTATGCCGTGGAAGCCATGGCGTTTGCAGCGTCGGATTCAGCAGCGTCATCGAGAGGGCAATACAACCAAGGCCTTGATTCTGCTTGCTGCAAAGTTCGATCCAGGATATCATTTCTCAAGCTTCGCCGGGTGAATGCTATAGCTCTGGAAGCAGCAGTGAAAGAAGATCCGGAGCAGTTGTCCCCATTGATAACACCAGTAAGTCTCTTGGATTCACATTGAGCTCTCATTGTCTTTGTCTTTGCAGAAACGAACTACAGACTTTCAAACACTCTTTCGGAGATTTTGCAAAGTTGCTCAACCTTACTGGCTCGACTCCAAGGAGGGTAACCAGGCAATCCTCCGATTAGCGAGTGTTTTTGCTCTTACGCTTGCTTCCACGGGGACGAGCGTGGCATTTAGCTACCTTGGAAGGAGTTTTGACAACGCCTTGACAAGTAAGTGTTTCCAGATCTGTCAGATTTCCTTAAACTTTTCTCCAGGTAAGAATCGAGAGGAGTTTTTCAAGCAGCTGATCTATTATTTGGGGCTCCTGGTCGCAGCACTTCCAGTAAGTCGTTTGTATGTTTGTGTCTTTTTCAGCGTGTAATTAACTCGACTATCTTCGAGGTTTATGTTATCCGCGGATACGCACAAGATACTCTTGCTCTTCGATGGCGAGCTTGGATGACGAAACGCTACATGGCTCAGTATTTTTCTCAGAGATCCTATTACAACATCCAATCTCTAGCACTCATCGACAATCCGGATCAGAGAGTTGTGGATGATATTGACTCGTTCACTGGCACGGCGCTTAGATTTAGCATGACGCTGTTCCATTCCATCACCGATCTGGCGTCCTTTAGCGGAATTCTATACCGAATTTATCCACCACTGTTTGGTGTCTTGCTGGTTTACTCCATTGGTGGCTCTTGCATTACTTTCCTACTTGGAAAGGTATGGTTTTATCTTGTTGCTTTCAGCGAGTTTGTGATGTTTTTCTTGCAGGATCTCATGAACTTGAATTTCATCCAAGAAAAGAGCGAAGCAGATTTTCGATATGGATTGGTGCGAATTCGAGAAAATGCAGAGTCCATCGCGTTTTATGGGGGAGAAAAGGATGAACTTCAGTTGCTGCTGGAACGTTTTAAGCAAGCTTTATCCAACTACAGTGTAAGTTTTGCTGGTTTTTCCATTGTGATTCTTTCGACAATGTAAGTTACTGCATTGTCTTTGCAGAAACTACTCATAGCTTCGCGAAACTTAAGATTTTTCCAAATTTTCTACAACAACTTGATCCAAATCCTGCCCGCCGCCGTGGTGGCTCCGTTCTACTTTGCTGGAAAAGTCGACTTTGGGATCGTCAGTCAGTCTTTCCATGCTTTCAGCTCCGTTCTCGACGACCTCTCCTTGGTCGTGGACGATTTTCAATCGCTTAGTTCCTTCTCCGCGGTCGTCGATCGCCTTGGTACACTTTCCTTCGTTTGCTTGGTTCTCTTCGAGCTACCTTTACATTCACAGGTGAATTCAGTGACATATTGGATCAACAAGGCGTAGTGAATGCTTCGGAGCCAAGCACCATCAAATCGATCGAGACCACGGAAAGCGAGGTTCTTATAGAAGTTTCGACCTTGACACTGTTGTCTCCTCAACAGACACTGACTCTTGTCGAGGGGCTCTCTTTCAGGATGATCGCTGGACAAAATCTTCTGGTCTGTGAATTTCTCAAAGTTTCTTCGTTGCTATCAGATGAATAACTCGGGTTTAAGACCAGATAACTGGCCCCAGTGGAAGTGGCAAGACATCGTTCTTGAGAGCTATCGCAGGACTGAGGAAATCCGGGCAAGGAACCATAGCAAGAAACGCTGCCATGGATGTATTCTTCGTGCCGCAAAAGCCATACATGACTCTTGGAACACTCCGGCAACAATTGCTATATCCAACTTGGAGCACAGACGGGGAGAAAAAACACGATCATGGTAGCGAGAATTTTGGTCTTTTACTGCTCGTGAATCTATCGGAAGTGTGCTCTCATGATCCAGAATCCAAGCACAGCGATGCCGACTTGATGGAAGTCTTGCGTAGAGTGAAGCTTGAACAGCTCCTGGAACGCTCGATTCACTTGGACGCGAATGCCGACTGGTCCAGTGTCTTGTCACTGGGAGAGCAACAGCGCCTGGCTTTTGCTCGATTGCTTCTATCAAAACCAAAGCTTGCGCTCCTGGATGAAGCAACCAGTGCCATAGACGAAGCAACTGAGGTAAAAGCTTGTCTCTTTGGTTCTCTTCTAAGATCTAGTCACTCTACGCAGGCTTACTTGTATCGACTTCTCCTAGAATCCGGAACTTGTGTGATGAGCGTTGGGCATCGCAGCACGCTTCGCGAATTCCACACGCACTTGCTCTTCTTTTCCCCGCGAATCTCCGGGACGAGTATCTCGGAGTGGTCATTACAAGACCTTCCTCAAAGAACCAGCTTTGAGTAGCAGTAGTTCTTCGTCCATTGCAGTGGATAAGTGGAAGACTGGCTTTTGGGAATGCGAGCAAGCAAGCGCTTTGCAGCCTTGCTATAGTGTGGCGAAGCTCCAGCAGCTCCATGCACCGATCTGTCGCAAGTTTGGAGCTGTGGAGGAAGCGGCTGCGGTGTTTGATAGCATCCAGCGTCCAAACGTCTTCTCGTGGAACAACACCGTCACGGTGTATGCACAGCGACGCCATGTCCGAGAGGAACTCCGTGTCCTGGAACACAATGGTGACGGGCTATGCCCAGACTGGGTATCTCACACAGGCTGCTCGAGAGAATGCCACAGCATGGAGTGGTTTCGGTCAGTGCTTTGGTCGTGGGCTTTTCACCATACCAAGCTCGGGCATATCATCAAACAAATCTCGGAACTCTCGCATATGCCCATTCACGGCATAGGCAGCCAACATAGCCGTCCAAGACACAGCATTGAGCTCTGGAAACCGATCAAAAAGCGTCCTTGCGTTCTCGAGCTGACCCATCTGACCCAGCGAGTCGATCATAGCAGTCCATGAGACAACGTTCCACGCTGGCATTCTCTCAATCCAAGTTATGAGGCTGGACGATTCTCTCAAAAGTAGCCTCTCAAAAAATAGTCGAGTATTTTCCTCTGCTTGCTCGGTTTGGCCGGGATTTGGGATGAGTTTGCAAGCATACATAAATCGTGGAACCTTGTAGTCCATTGTCATGCCACAAATGGAGATTTGGTAGTTCCTTGCAGGGATTCCATGGAAGATATCCAATCCTTCCAGGCTTCCATGGTTCCTAGCAAAGTCCTAGAACATTTTGTAACCATTTTTCAGCTCATTATATTCCTTCCTCCTTATAAGAAATCTTTGCCCTCAAAGATAGCATCACAACCAAACTTGCCAAGTTTGATTCACAAACTTGTAGGGATTTGTTGGAGCAAATACTTACATCCTTTTACTTCTTTTATGAACTATTTTTGTTTCAAACTTCTAAAGAAGAATTCCCTACCTATCATCCTTAGCACCTTGTAAGGCTTTTTATTTTTCTACTCATACAATCTTTGAGGAGCCTCCCATAAAATAATCTTTTAAGAGAGATTCCAACAAGTAGCATGCCTTCTAGAGCTGAGAAGGCATGCTACTCTATGTATTGCAGGTAAATTGGAGTCAATTCTTATGGAATGATTGTTTCTTTATGGATCAAGTTACACTAGTTATGTCATAAGTTGCTAGTAGCAAGGTAGTTCAAAGGAAGCTGGGGTTGAGTATCTTGGCCTTGTACTTGGGTGTCACACCTGTCTCACTAAGAGTTGATAAGAAATTTGTGAGAAATTTCAAAGCACTATAATTTTTCTTCTCTTATGTTCTTCTTTTTTTCTTTTCCCTTTAAACAGCCATACCTAGCCATGTAAGTTGAGTCCAAAATAGAGTTCGAAATGATGGAGTGCAGAAAGGAGTTTAACATGGAATTTGAGATGGAGTCCAAAAAAGAGTCCAAGATGGAGTTCAAAATGAAGTTTAAGATGGAGCTTAAGGTCAAGTCTAAGATGGAGATTGAGACCAGGTCCAAAATTGAGAACAAAACCAAGATTGAGACTAAGATTGAAACCAAATCTGAATCCAAGTTTGAGTCTAAGGGTGAAAGCCTAAAGGTATTGTCTCCCAAAACCCTAAGGGGTTTGGGGAGCTCCAAAAGGATAATAGAGAGAGGACTCCAATAAAATTAATTTTGCAAGGAAAAGTTAGTGTGACCAAGGAAGGTTATATTTATATAGTGGATGATGATATAACTATTGAGGAGTCCAAAGTTAAAGTGAACATAGATGAATAAATGAGGTAATTTAATGAAGTGTTCAAGAGTTAATTCTAGCTTCCTTGGGAGATCGATGCTCGATGCTCCCAATCTAAATATGGGGTAGCACTACCTACTTAGATAGCTGGTGTGGTTTAATGGAACCTCACTCCAACCACATGGCTAGAGCTCCAAGAGGTGGAAGGTGGGAAGAGTACTCACAAGTTTCATGTTTGGTTATGGTATTTTGAAATATTGTCCTAAAATTTTAAATTGTAGAAATGAAAAAGAGCAATCCTCTTGTGTAGTAACCAAGAATACAGTCACGTGGCAAGGAAGTCCCAAGACTTAGTGGTCAGACCTTTGAGCCTTGACCCAATGGCAATGTTAACGAGCATGACTATATATAGAAAGAGATTTAATAGGGACAAAAAAAAAGATATTGGGGAAGGATGTTCTTTATGTCTTTGATAGGGAAGGGTGTTCCCCATGTCTTTGAGCATCCTAAGGATGATATATTGTAGTATAAGATAACCACTCATGGACGAATATGAGACTTTGGGAGATGAAATTATGGTATGGGTGGTTTTGAATTACTCACGAGACAAAGGTGAATGGATATAGCATTAGCGTAATTGACTGATATGTTAGTGGTACCTTTGGGTGTTTGTCATGGGATTGGACATGTGGAGCACTTAGACCAAATGCAAAGGCTAAATAGTATAGATGTCATTCATAAGACTAATATATCCCCTAATAGAATGGAAAATTTAATTGCTTACAGAGTGTTATACTAAATAACTATGGACTAGCTTATTTGCCACTCATAGCAAACTTAAAGGAGGTTTATTTTTACCTATAGTAATATGGAACAACTTATAGTAACCACTTAAACTAACATTAATCTTGCTAACTTGAAGTGTAACTTTGAGTTGTTAATGTGCCTCACTCACGAGCCCAAGCACAAACTCATGCAAATGATACATCTCAATCCATCCTATATGCCCAAGCGCAAGCTCATATAATATGGTATGGTGATCAAAGTGGGTCATGGTGTTCACACTTCGTGAGAAATTGTCATAAATGTGACTATAAATATTAAAAGTTTCTGATCAACAAGTCTTTTTGGATATTCTTCTTTTATTGCCATGATGGCAAGAGGTCACTCCCCATTTTACATTCCATAGATATGCCTAACTCGCCAATCTAGACACTTTCTATAAATAGTTATTGGGACCGAACATATAAAGCATGATAGCAAAGGTGTTTGGCAAATACGGTAAGCTATCCTATAACAATATTAATGGACTAAACTCAATATACGAGGGTTCTTGTTAAATTAGTGCAAAGATAGAGCAAAAGAAAACTAAAAGTTGGGCCAAGTATACTCAGCAAGAAACATATAAAAGTTCTTACCTTATATTTGTTTGGCTAAGTACAGATGTTAAGCTCAATTTACTAAAAGGGGTTGAAAAATGAACCAACAATACTAACCTGTTGCCATTATAGCAGTAAGGAAAGAATATCCAAAAGGACTTACTGACAAGTAATTTCTAATACCTGCAGTCACATTTTCAACATGCTTGATGAACAAGCATGGAACAATCTAAAAAACAATCTAAAAAAAGATAAAAAAAGAATTGACATATGGTAAATATCATGATACGTAGAAGTGTTGAGACCGAGTCCAAAATCAAGTCTGAGATGGAGGTTAAAGCCAGGCCCAAGATGGAGGCTGAGACAAAGCTTGAAATGGAGTTCAAATCTAAGTTTGAGATTGAGTTCAAGTTCAAGTTTGAGATTGAGACTGAATCTAAGTCCAAGTCCAAGTCTGAGGGTGAAAGCCCAAAACAATTATCTCCCAGACTTTGGGGGGTTTAATAAATCCCTACAGGATAAAAGGGGTGGAAGACTTCAGTGGAACTAGTGTGGCCAAGGAAGGCTAATGTGACTATCAAAACTAAAGTGAATATAAATGGATAAGTAGGGTGATTTAGTGAAGTGTTCAAGAGTTAACTTGAACTCCCCCGAGAGATCAAATAGTAAATATTCCCAATCTAAATATAAATGACACTATTTACTTGGATACCTTGTGTGGTTTATCAAAACTTCACTCTAACCATATGGGTGGGGCACTCTAGTGGCAGAACTTTCACACATTATTTAAAAATTCCCTTTGATGGCAATACATATTAGCAATACATGCCAGCAATACAAGTGGACCACCTAGTCATGGCAAGCCATCAGAGACTGAGTTGTTCCTTGTACCATGGGTGAAAGTAAATTTCTCTTGGGTTTGCTATAATTGGCAAATAAGTTGATCTGTAGTTGTTTAGCACAGCACTAATGGATCCTTTCTAGGCATAATTATAAGTGAACCACACTAGGCCCTAGAGGTCCCAATCACAAAGAAGCTCAATGTCAAGTGAGACCATTCATCATTGATGTAAGGTTTCATATTCTCTCTCTTTTTCCCAACAGCACTACATATGATTGATGCCTAGTGAGTAAGAAGCTCCTTGTCTTGATGCTTGATCGATAAAAGGAAGTGCTGTAATAGCCATTGCAAATAGGAATTCATGACTGATGCATATCCTGTAGGCTATGTGCCTCTCCTTCAACACAAGCTCTAGCTTCCAAATGACTAAGAGAAGCAAAAAGAGTTAGTTGAATTCAACATTATGCATCCTGTCACCTTTTTGCCACTCTATCAACACAAGCTCTAACTTCCCGGATTCCAGCCAAGAGAGATCATAATCTTGAAGAAAGAGTTGGGCAAATTTGACATCATGCAAGATGAGTGCTTATATAATCCTTCCTTCTTGTTTGTTCTTTCTTTGTCTACCTGGACTACACTCCCTATGCAACAAATGATGGTGGAATGTACTTGTCTTGGTAATCTAGAGACAAGATCTCAACACTATAATGGGTTCTCACACACTTTTTTTATACATTTTGATTTGTTCCAGTGGACTAACATATCCAATGGGAGTGTGTACCATCCAAACTCGAAGGCATGCTTTAATCTATGTAAGGAGAGGAGATCCACTAAGATATTCCTCTCAATTTAGTGGTTTGAAGCTCTATATAAAGATTAAATATATAATTTTTTTATAATGAGAAATTAACTCTTGCATACCTCTGAATTCCAGGATAAAGTCTGTGCTGCCTTCTACATTGTGCTCCTTAGACTCATTATGTTCTAGAATGGAATCTATAATATAAAGAAAGAGAAAAGTGGTACACCACCTATCATGGTTAGAGATGTTGTTTT